CTACGCACAACGTGGCTGCTGATGCACACCATTTACTCTAAGTCTCTTTTCTGAAGCCTGCTTGTTAAACAAGCTCACAAACTCCTGCAATTTACAGCCATACCTACAAACACACAGGGACCAACACACCCCATACCGGCAAAAGGGCCAGCAGGAACCGTCACTGAAACCACAACTGCACGCCCCTCAGTAAAACCCCTCCGGCCACAGGGCCTTTCTCAGCAAAAAAAAAAAAAAAAAAAAAAAAAAAAAAAAAAACCAAACCGAAGAAAAAAGAAGCAGGTAACGGAACAGGTGCATTTCGAGAAAAGAAGCAGCGAGTAACAAGGATGAGGCGACGACCTTCTGTTTTCTGCAGATCCCTCCGTAGGCGAAAGAAGCAAACGCTGCTTGAGGAACCGGAGCAGCCGTCACGACCGTTACAACGGTTGGAGCGCGCCCGCGTGCCGCCTTAGCGCCTGTCGGAGCTGCGCGCGCCGCCCGCCTGCTGCCAATCGGCCGCTGCAGGGGCGACGCGGTGCCGGCAGGTGGCGCTGCAGCCCTCAGCAGCCGCCTGCTGCCGCTGGGCACAGCGGCCGGATAGTGCGGAGAAACGGGCAGGGAGAGACGGCAGGAGGGGGACCGGCCCCTTCGGTTTGAACTCATTTTAGTAAGTCAGAAACTAGCCTGTGTTTCTATCGCAGCAACGTTTCAGAACTTTCTGAAGGTCTGTACAGGTGCAAGTAGCTTCAGAAGACAACGAGTTGGATTTCATCTCACCAACAGCATCCACAGACACCATCCCAATGACCCCATGGCGGCGGGACTGCAGTGCGACCGATGTTGTGGCATCAGCACTACACCTAGATGGAGCTCCAGATTAATAGGCCAAAGGTGGTTGCTAACAGAGCTATTTTCTATCCTGCATCGCTTTCCCATCGCTTTAAGGAGAGTTCTTCATTATCTCACTGAAATTTTTACTGCAATGTCAGCAATCGGCTGCAAGATCAGCCTCCTAAATGAGAAGCAAAAAAACCATTTAATTGCAGGCATCATGAGTTATGCTAAAACCGTTTAATTTATTCTTTTGTATCTCAAATGTAAGCTGTCACTGATAGCTTCATGGCTTAAAAACATCTCAGATTCTTCTTTGCCTCAGACAACATTGCAGATTAAAACCTGCATACTGCAAAAAGCTTCTCTGGTACTTAAAAAGGAATTTACATCATCTGCGGGCTGAAACATAGCATATTTATTTGACATACATGGTCCCTTCTGCATTTGGAGATATAGAGTTCCTGTAAATGAGATACATGCAAAAAAGTTTAGATGTTTGCATTGATTTTTGCTAGATGCTTCTAAGTTGGGTCTTGAGGAAAGAGAAGCTGAGGGTGTACTGCAGCAATCGCACCAAGAACACAAACAGAGCAAACTCCCTTCTCACAAATGTGGTACATCAAGGGAAAGAACTGATGAAAAGCATGTTTGTCCCATTTGTCAGCAGTTCTTCAAGAAAACGCATCCCATCACTTACTGCTTCACTTACTGTTCATTGCATCACTTACTGTTCATTATACAATTACAATAATAATTACTTGTTCTTTGCCTTGCTACTTTTCTAGTTGCAGATTTACAAGACCTTGCTAGCTTCAGTACACAAGAATACAGCTGTTGTAGTTCCTCACTCTTAAAAATTTGGCAATTCTACAAGCTAAACTCTGAGGGGAGGAGGAGGAGGAAAACAAAAGCAGAGGCAGCTCAGTATTGCTTTGTGATTTTTCTAACATGCTTGTGGAAGTATTTCAGAAATTCGTCATCTTTTCTCTAACAACATTCACATAAAATGTATGAAAAATCGGACCGAGCACCAAGATGAAAATGACTGTAGCAAAGTGCCCACTCGGCAGGGAGGCTCCTTCTGAAAGAATTTATGAACTCTCGCCAGCTTTTGACCACAACAGAGAAAGCAAAACTAGATAAGCACCTCAGAATCCCCTGCAATAACTGCAGAGTATTTCCAATTGTGGTGAAGTGCTGCAAGTAGGTATTTTTAAATAAAGATTGAGACAGCTACGTCTTTGTTTATTCCTCTCTTTTTTTTTAATCAATGATCTGAACTACAGAGTAGACAATACACATCCATACAATTCTGTAATACGTATTTGGAATCTTCCTTTTCTAAATTAAAGTCTTATTCACTACTGCACCGTACAACATTAACTGCTTATTACCCTAACTCCTTGTTCTGTAGACATGATTTCTTTTTCCTCTTAATTGTACGGAGTGTGCTGGATTTTGTTATTTTTCACGTTTTTCTTTTTAGACAAGTACCAGAAAAGTTTTCTTTTTATCTCCTACCCTGAGCTATGCAATATTACCTCTCTTCTATTTAAACGAATCATACAGGCGTTACACACTGAACTATACTCATTTTGCTCCCTGCTAAGTAACTACAGAAAAAATAGTGAGATAAGAAAGAAGTAACACCTTGAGATACAAGCTCAGTTATCCTCTGCACGCCTGCCTTGTATTATGACACCCTTATGTGGGCAGTTGTGAATACATTAGTTAACTTAACCTGCCTTTCTAACTTGTTTTTGCAACTAACTGCTTACCTTCTCTGAGAGGCACGCCTGAGACAAATGCAGGCTGACGGAAGTCTGTCAACAAGTTTTTATCCAAATAAATCCTACAAGAAGACTGTTAAGAGTCCAGGCCTACAATTGAAACACAAAACCCATTAAATCAAGGAGCTGAAAGCACACGTACATACAGGTCTACAGAAAGCCGGTTCCCTTAGACCAGCTTTATATTCACTCTGCAGCATCAGAGCAGTGAAAAACATCAATCAGTTCAGATTACCATAACAACCATAAACAAATATACGTTTAAGAGGTTAATTTTTCTGTCACTTTGTGTCAGAATCTCTAGAAATACCAGTTCTTGAGGTTTGCCATTCCTGGGAGTTGTCTTAGAAAAAAGAAGTGAGAATATCTTCATGTTCAAACTGAAGTAAATGCTTTCTGTTCCAGGCTTTGCAAGGGTCCAAGTAAGAGATTTCACTTAAGAAGGCTAATTGTATTTGCCACACCAAAAACATTTAGGAAACAAATTCAATCAACTGTTCTCAGCTACTTTTTTTTTTTTTTTTTAATCACAAGGGCACTTTATCTTACAGAATTCCATTTATCTCAATTATTTTGCACAAAAGAGAAATAAGAAATGGAAATGGTATGAACTGCTTTCAGAACCATCAGATGAAAGAGGAACATACGAAAGCTTTAACCTAGCAAACTGTTCCAAAGAAGTATTACGCCTTCAAGGGAAGTAAGAGCTCGTCTTCTTCTGCACCATCTACTATAACAAACAAAAAATCTTCTCACAACACTCTCTTAAACAGCATCCGAAGAAATAGTAAATACTGTACACAAAAGGATAAACATTTTAATAAGAACATATAGCAATATTTCTAATAAAGCAACAAGTCAAACTTCAGAAAAGTCACACAAACTACTGCAAAAATTCAATAACTTACATTATGCAATTGTTCAGGCTAAAGCAACATACTAGTTGATGTTCTTGGAAGTTTAAGGGTTGGTAAGATGTTGGAAATCTCCAAGTAATTTTGTCAGGACAGTATCTCTGATTAAAGCAGAATTTATTCACGAATGCAATGGCGGGCGTCCCACAAGCAGGAGCGCGCCTATGGACGCATCATAACAGCCTTTAGACCCTGTTTTCTCTCCCCTTGCCTTCTCCCCCTTCCCCTGTTTTCCCACTGGCTGCGTACTCCAGGTTCACAATCTTATCAGAAGGTTTTACATTTGTTAATTACTTGTTAATTTGTTTGTTATCTGGTGTCGGTCCTGTTGTCTCCAAGATGTCTCAACATTTATGTTTTACATAAATACAAGAATACATTCTTGTTCATACTGATACGGCGATTCTGTTCAGAGTCCTTGTTAAACAAAGAGTACGGAAGGGAGGTGCCCAATCTTCCTCAATACCTTCTTCAGGCACTCCCTGAGGCATGTAACGAGTCATCCTTTTAAATTACACAGAATAATGCTGCAATGTGTGTGACATATTCTCAGCACTGGCTATACATAAGTTGTAACTAGCTTATATATATTCATACATACTACTTTACTTATTTACCAAATATGTGTTGTTGGGGAAGATTTACTTAGGGGATTACCAATGAAAATTTATCAGAGAACCCCAATAATGTAGAAAGGCTCCTAAAAAGATCTATTAGTTCTAATAAATGACCCAAATGGTAGAGAGGCCATGAAATCAACAAAATTCTTATTTTGTGTCTGATGCAGAAACAACATTCAATTCCCACAAGATCAGTAGCACAGAAATGATTTGCACAACAGCTCTGGTTTAGCAGACTGACTCAACTATCAATTACAAAATTTCAGTCAAAGGCAAACTTTTCATTCTCAAGCATCCAGCTTTAGTTCCTACTTCTCCTAATGCACTCATTTTTGTTTTGTTTTAGGACTAGTTGTACCCCACACAACACTGCAAATTCTGTATCCAGCATTTTAGGTAGCAAACTAATTTATTTGCCCTAGGTACTCTGCGTAGATTCTGTTTGAAGAGCTTTCACCTTGGTCAACACTAAGATTCCTACCGTGTAATCACAAGAGGGGGAAAAAAAAGTGTTTCAAACATCAAAGAACCAAATCTTCACAAAATCTGTTAACTTGCACCACCTCAGACTTTTCAACTGGTAAGTATTTGGAAATACATATTACCCGGACAACCTGTTAAGATCACCTTTGCACTCTTAAGCATGCCCCTAGAACATAGACACTTTTCAGATCTACCTCAACCTAGCTTACCTATCCAGCAGTACTTTTTCCACTGATGAACAACATCAGTAATAGAAAATCCAAGTTTTGATCACTTTCAGGATCTTCATCACTGTCCATAATCACCACCCTTTACACCAAGCATTGATACGTAGCACAGTCATAAGAGCAATTAAGCTCAAAGAAAAGCTAGCAGAGTCAGCACTGATTCCTCATTTTAATGAACGTGTGTGATCTTACTCTCAAGTTACTCTTACAGACGGTTGGAGAGCCTTCAGACACCTCATCTAGATACCTCAATTGCAGCAGCCTGAAAACTTTTTTATAGCCTAACAGTGTCCATAACTTGGGATGTATTCACTCTATTCACCAGCAGCACAGCCCCCATCGTGCTCAGTGAAGTTCCTCTTGACACCCAAAACACTGGACAAAATTGAATTACTGCTGAATGGTCAAACAATTGATTAGCCCATACTTAGCTGAGAAATATGCTCACAACTGACCTTTGTCTTTTAAGTTTCATAAGGAATGTATTGACAGTTGGCTAGTGCACCAAAAAGCCAATGACCTACTGATCAATGTGCTGTATACCATGCTCTGACTTGAAACAATATGCCAGTCAAACATGAACGTTTCCCAAATGGTTCTCATACACACATAAGAAAACTTGCAAAAGAAGTGGAACCAGAAACATGTGTCTCTGGAAATCAATATTTAATCAAGCAAGTATCATCTGAACACTGATCAGAAAGTTCTCCAAGTAGCATCAAAACACTTTACAACAAAAGAGTGTCTGTGTCTGTAAAGGATTTAATTTTAAGCAGTTATATTGACCACCACCTAGGAGGTGATTCTGATTGTAACAGCACAACTCTGAGTGAGCATTCAAAGCATGATGAGGATAATTCTCTAAGCTCTTCTGGGGCAGCATTTTCTGGGAAGTCCCATACCATTAGAAAGGATGACATAAACCAAGCTTTGAGAAGCCTACATCGCTTTGACAATGGCAGTGCAAGGAACACATCTGCTTTAACAACAGGTATCTGTGATAATTCCTCAATTCAAAGACATCCCAGAGTGCTGAATTTTCACATCCACCCGTGTAGCAAGCCATTCTTCACAAAAAGAGAGTAAACAAGTGGGAAAGATCAGTCATCAACAAAAACCCCTAAGACAAGGACTCCCTCATCACCTCAACTTCAAACCTGCAAAAACAGATTTATTCCTGGAAGGATTTCCTCTGCATACCAGCTCATTATTTTCTTGTTTTAAGTAACACAGCTGTATTTTCGCTTTTATATTCCATACACAGGATTTCTGGGAGATCAGACAACAAATTAATAAATGAATAATCAATGCCATTAACTGTATACGCCGCAAAAATTAATTCATTGCTGCTATAAGTGTTTACATTAGATCATCTCAAATAAGTACAGCAACTGACCTGGCTGGTGCAGATGTTTCAGAAAATAGCTGCATACTTGTGAAATTGTTGCTGTTTAAGTTCTTAGCCTTCAGTCAAGTAAATTGCTCCAAGAAATGTAAAATGAGTACAGCTTTGATATTCTTGAAAGACCAATTACAACAAAGTTCTTATTCAGAGCTGTAATAAATAGCCAGATGGATTTTAACATCACTGCTGAAAAAAGTCTTATCAACTGCTATTTTCAATGTACAATAATACAAGGGAGATGTAAAAGAACCTATTTATAGTCTCAGGTACTTTCTTTAAGATCTGCTATAGTTCACTGATAATTTATACTCACAAGAGGAATGAAATCTTGACACAGTATACAGTATGTATCTTTATAGCTTTAAGGGAAACCAGAATTTGTTGCAATTTCTTCACAACAAACTTACCAGTGTCACCCACTCGCAGACTTGAATTGATATTTAATGATTAATCCAGAGAGCTTGAGCTTTGTGGTTTTTTTATTTTAAGACAACATAGACTGAGTTGAACTTCAGCTCATTTTTTGTATAATTATTTGCATTCATAGATCTGACGACCCACTATAAATATTTTTAAAAATTTATATTGAATATTAAAAAATATTTAATCTTTACATTAAAATGAAATTTGACTGACGCTGAGTTTTCCTCTATTGAACTGGAAATAAAATTCATGAGATTGCTTTGCTTTCCTGTAGAGACTAAGGAAACTCCTTCCATTTCAAAGCAACGAGCGAATTCACAATAGGTTTAAATGAAGTGAAACAACTTGTCAGGAAGTTTGAAAATATTGTTTTCTGAGTGAATAAGAAGAAAACCAGCAATTTCCTAGAAGATAGTAGCTTCTCAGAGCATTTGATTGCAGAGCACATGAGAATGCCTGCTATGGTAGGAGAACCTTTGTGGCATGCTAGCCTGTAGTCTTGTAGTGTTTCTGAACAAACACAAGATAATCGACAAATGGCTTTTATAAAGCTGAAAAAGAGAAAAAGGCTTGCACTATATGCGATTAAAATCATTACTTCAAGCCCTGAAGTTTGGTTTAAGCTCTCCTGTATCATACAATCATTCTGTTCTATCTGGATATTTTGAGGTTATCTGTAGGTAGAACCGATGCTTCGGCATATCTGCACATTCAGACATGCAGAAATCTTATTTGCTCTTAGAGTCACAGAAAGTATCTAAATAAAAGAATGGAGAAAAAAAAAAAATATTATGAGCACGAACAAAACCTGAAAGAGTATTCTAGCTCTCTGGGTACTTCCTTCCAATTCAACAAAATCAATTTACACAGGTAATACTTTTAGCTGCGCCAGCAAACGGAGAGGAATCAGATGCACTGTGGAGATCAAAGGCTTTCTTTACTAGAAATGGAACAGAATATGGCTGAATTAGAATTGGTAAACTTTTAAGGTGGATAACATTGGTTGAACACTGGAATTATGGCCATGGAAGAAATACAGAATATTTTTTAGCACTATTTAACAAAGATAAAAGTGAGACCAGTGTGTCCCTGGACAACGTGAGATTTCAAAGACCATAAAAACTGAAGTTATGGCACTGATGACTTTTAACTATTTTATTATATTGCATAAGCTCTAACATCTTACAAGTCTTAGTTACATTTTCAGCAACATATTCACTGATACTGTAATAAATAGAGATTAGAAGACACCTCCGATAAAAAATGAAAATGTAAAAATACTTAAAATCTGAATGTTGAACATCAGGAATGTTGTAAATGAAGATCCTACCTGTTCTTGAACATTCCTGAAATGCCTGTGAAGGTAATGAAGTGCCTGCTGAGTGTAAAGCTCCAACACACAAGGTGATGACCACAACCATCAGCTCACCTACAATTTGGTACCCCAACGATGGTCTATGGCCTCCGTTCACAAACTGTGCACTAAACAGTGTCTTCACACACAGTAGCAAGATGCTGTAAAAACAGTATTCTTCTAGCATGGACTGAAGTGCACCAAGTGCTTCACAGGAACTCAAAAATTAAACTGAGGAAAAATGTACCAGTACACTTTTTGGACAGATGCAAATATAGAAATATTCAGCAATTGTAAATTGACTGAAAAAGGTTTCAGTCAATTTTCAGTCTTATTCTGTAAGATAATTTTCAGGCTGAATGTTAATAGTAAAGACTTACAACACACATTTCTTCTGCTAGTCTTGAAAACAACCTCAGGTAATTTTTGTCTTTTAATAAGCAGAACACACTGAATACTGCTGTTAAAAGAAAATGAAGTTGAGATTAAAATCTCTTAACCCACTTGTAGTATGAGTTCTTTAAGAGAAACGTACCTGTCCTCTGTTAGAACTGTGGCACAAGTTAGTAAGAATTCTATAAAAGAATACTCATTTGTAACTCTATAGGTCTATCACCGTGTTTTGCCCGAGTACAACTGCACCAAATTTAAAAAACAAAAATCAAATCAATGAAGAAGCTTGGGTTATGTAAACAATCCCAGGTAGGCCTCACAATGAGATATAAACTGGTTTTAAAACACAAATAAAACTCAATACACCTCACTCAATATACGTCCTACCGCCAATGAGGGTTAGCAACTGACAGTGGCTTTTTATCATCACCATACTTTGTATGTTAAAAACATAATAATTTCATTTCTGAAGTTAAAAAAACACAGATTCAGACTCATAAGCCCAGTGACTTCCAAGATGCTTCATTCTGGCTTATTAAGTTGAATTGGATTCTGTATGTGGTTTTTAAAAGATACTACTGTTCTGATTGCTAAAGATATACTTCTTTAATTTCTTTTCAAACATAAAATACAAAAAAGACAGGGTGTACAACAGTCATCATCATCAACATGCAGAAGTCAGTATTCCAACATAAAAACACTAGGTCTGCCTTTGAAAACATTATAAAAGCTACACAACCGAAGGTTTGAACTGGGGTTTTTGGCTAACAGAAAAAAAACCACATACCTGTGCTTCTCAGATAGTCACGTGTCCCACTGATAAAATAAGTCTGATGACAGAGAAAGGCACTTCAGCAGGCTAATTTAGATCTTCAGATATTCCTAGTATGCCACGTTTCACATGCAGTAGTGGACAATGGCTGTAGTGTATTGTATTTTCATTTGTACACCATTATAGCAATAACATTGTTAATCTGCTTCATATTTTAACTAACGAGAAGAATTTGAAGTGCTGCCTAATCATCTCACCCTCTTTGGTACAAATCACTGCACAGAAACAGAGCGGACAACTAAAAATGTGCAGTCCTACATACTGGATTATCTCTCTTGCATCATCTCTAGCTCTGCAATGGTAAATAATGTCCCTAATTATCAAATCAGTTGTGCTTTCAGGTTTATGAGATAGTAGACTTCTCCTAATTCTGACAGTATTAACAAGCTCCTTCTTGCTAATCTAATCTAATTCTTAAGCATTTCTCCTTTTTTAAATTCCTGCAGTACCTGACTTATTATAACCACCAGAAAATTACTGTTTATTAGCTCATTTGTATTCTGGTTACCATACACAATACTAATGTATATACAGCTATGTATTATTTAATCTGATCATCTACAATATCATAAAATCGTTTGAGTTGGAAGGGACCCCTGAAGGTCATCTGGTCCAACTCCCCCGTAGTGAACAGGAACATCTACAGCTCCATCACGGTACTCAGAGCCCCATCCAGCCTGACCTCGAGTTTCTCCAACAACAGGGCATCCACTGCATCTCTGGACAACCTCCAGCCCCTCACCAATCCTACTGTAAAAGTACTTCTTCCTTATGTCCAGTCTTCCCTCTTTTATTTTGAAATAACCTCCCCTTTTCCTGCCACAACAGACCCTGCTAAAGAATCCATCCCCTTCTTATAGACCCCCTTTAGATCCTGAAAATGATTACAGTGCATGAAAGCACTGATCTGAGCCACACGGATTCATCTGCAGAAGCAAGGCCTCAGCTCACTCCATCAACCACCTCATCAAAACCTGCTAACACATAGAAAAGATATACCCAGCTGCAAGAAACTCAACATCTCGGTAACATTTTGTCTACATACACATAGCATACAGTATCTGCAATGAAAATATTAGAACTCAATGCAGCAAAACTCCTTTTCTTGAACAGATGAGTAAAATAAAGAATTCCAGTCACTAAGAGGTAACATAGGTTTCTAGTGCACCAAGTTCCAACACACAAATGGAAAATGATGACTATACTTACAGGATATAGCCTGTAAATACTGCATACAGATATCAAGTGTTTTAATCATTTTAGAATAGTAGACAAATTTAAAAATACAAGTTTTAATGCTCAAGTTAGGGCCAGGGAAGAATTCCCTCTCACTGTGCGCTTAGGGGCATCATCTGTTTTCATACAACTATCCTCCCACATACACCTAAAGAAAAGTGTTCTGCAGTGTTACCAGCAGTATATGACAACGTGATAAATGCCAGCAAGTCACATACAGTAGAGTTGGCATATGGGATCTACAAAGCAAGCAAAGCATGGATGGAAGCAACAGTTCAAGACAGTCTTGGAAACTGAATTACCTTTACTGCTGCTTGTGCACTCTAGACAAGAATTTAAATACTCCACACAAACAAACGCTCACATTCTCATTAGGCAAGAGAGAACTGAGGCCCTTCGTTCACAAAAGAAGTTGTTAGCAGATGTCCCACCACAGCTAGAGCTATTGCAAGGCTACTAAGGACACGTACTTTATCCACAGATAAATCATCTCTACCAGTCATGAGAACATAAAGCACATTTTCAGAAAGAAATTCATTTTGCTTCCTACTACTGAGAAGCTCAGCAGCAAGGAATTCTTAATAATAATATTCCCCTCCAACTTGCCTGGCTGCCTAGGAGCTGATGCACTTATGGACAGCCTTTCAAGAGGCCTACAAGAGCAAAACTGTGGCTTAATCCAGACATCCAAAAGCCCATTAAGATTGAAGGTTCAGAAAATAACTCCACTCCTTGCTTGTGATCCACAACATAGCAGACAAGAATCAGCACAAACTCAGTGCATCTTTGGAAACTGCTCTTTTGAAATCCTAAACTGATCTTTCCAAAATTTCTAACCCTTTTTCTTTGCTGACCAGATACCTACTCTGATGCAGAACAGGATCACTGGAGCGCAAAATTTCATTCACTTGAGCTGACATGAACAAAGCCATTTGCTACAGTCTTTGCCTTCCCATGATAAAAGTGAGTTTAAGGAATGACGTAGTCTTGGTACCTACAATTTAAAATATTCTTTAAACAAGAGAAAGAATCTGCTGCATATTTAAATTACTGTAGGAAAACGATACTCAATTTAGACAACTCAAATCCACTATCGAGGATTTACTGTTATTTTCAACAGAAGATATGAAAGTCTCTTTTCGAAAAGGGACTCATCACAACTGATGCAATTCTAAGCAGGGCAATGCTGAACCTCTAAAGTAAAAGTAACTTTCAATAAATTGTGCGTTCTTACAAAAATACACTTCAAAATACATAATGGATAAGTAATAAAGCAAACAAAGGAAAAAAAGAAATTTTCATCACTTTTGGCTATAAAATTAGTCATATAAATAAACCAGTGGATTGAATACAGGAAAATAGGTACTGTATTTCGTATAGAGAAGTTAAATTAGTTAACCAGAAAAAGTACCAAAGGGATGCTAATATGGCAAGCCATCTTAATCCCTAAAACAGATGAACTGCATAATTAAATCAGCGTCTTTTCGCCAAAGAGAATCAGAGACGTCAGAAAAACTTGGACTAATGGACTGCTAGTACAATCCCAATTATCTTACATATTCTTCTAGAAACAGCCACCAGACAACTGACAATTCCAAAAGAAGAGACACAGTTCACAGAACAATTTCCTGAGTATTCACTCCCACGAGCCCAGCCACATAGGATATTTCCCAACTCTGAGTGCACACGTGAGATGGAAGTTAATAAACACCACCATCACACTTTACTCCCAACCTCCCCCCCAATTTCTCAGAAGACAGAATTCCTGAAGCACTGGCATGGAAGAAAATCAAGGCGTGCTTCAACAACGGTGGCAAAAAGGCAGGAGGATGGCAGTGCCAGGCAGTCAACTAAGTGCACCCTACAGTTTACCTGCATGCATTTCATGCTTGGACCTCACTGTTGAACCTAAACTACTACAAACTACAGGAAACACTTATAACGTTTTTTAGGATGATTTGTAGTCAAACTGCCAAGGCCAAGATGCTGGAACTTATTTAATCAGGGAAGCATCTTAAAAGCCACAGAAAGACATTCTATATACAAAGCACGTTCAAAGGGTATGTATATTTTTCTGTTAGCCAAAGTTGAAACTATCACTTCAACAAGATGAACATTAAAAATAAAGAACATTTTGATGGCCTTTCCCTTCCCCTATACATATCTTAGTTACACTTCATGCATCCATGACTTTTGGTAAGCTTAACTCTAAGTTGAGTCATAAGTAGTATTTATACTGCATTACAGACCAAATTTTGCAATCTGCTCTCATGCTTATAAAAAACCCCAATTTTTAAAGCCTGCTTAACTCCACTGTGATGCACAATCTAGGACCTAAGTAGCTTGGATTAGTAAAATGTAGGCACGTACATCTCCAAATCATAAAATAAAAAGCAACAGCTTTCCCACCAAAGGGCACTATTACATACTATAACATAACTTGTCTAAACCTGCACACTTATTATCATAGTCCAAAGTCTAACTTATAAATCCGAAGGAATCCAAGACGATGTTTTGGAGCACAGCTCTTTCAACAGTATGCAGAAGAGAAGATTTTAACTAGCAACAAAGCTTAAAGAAGCCACTGAGATCAGCAGTAACAGCAGCTCTAAATGTGACCAGAACCAGTCCTTTCCTGTAGCAGGTGGATGCTGATGCCAGTTGTCAACATCCTCAGTTCAGAACAAAGCGGACTAAAAAAGATAGGCAACATCTTATGACAGCAGAGATCATGAACTCCAGTAACCACACAGCATGTACAGATCCCCCTGCTGCCACTGCTGTACAAAACAGTTACCTCTTGCACACCGATGGACACAGAGAGGACAGCAATGCTCTAGAACTCTTCTGAGAAATCCAACAGAGCTCTTCTTCGGGTGCCAAGGGACTAAATGATGACGCATTATACAAAGTGGTAGTGACAAATCCCTAGAAAAATTCACATATAAAATACTGTACAGATAATCACATTTATTAGGAACAAGACTGAGAAATGGCTTGAGCCACTATAGTACTGCTTCAGCAAAAAAATGGAAAAAAAAAAAAAAAAAAAATAGATGTGCCTACATTTCTCACTGTGCATTCTAAGAGTTGTGTCAAAAAAAATGACGGGCTAATTAAAATGTGGACCCTCTCTACACTGCCAGCAAAATTTTAGGAATTGTAAATTTTTCATGTGTTTCCCTGTTATCAATTAATTCCCATTGAATATCAATTGCCCAGCTGAAGTTAAAGTAACTCAATCTGTACATTAAAAAACGTTAATTTTTCTTGATACTAGAAAACAATATTTCCCTTGTAAACCCTACACTGCAGAATTACACAAGCAGCCAAGAAGTCACCAACCAGCAGGGAGAGCAACAACACAAAGCACATTGTGTTTTAATTTATAGGAATAAGTGGCCTCTCCTCTCTTTTCTTCCAGATATTAGTCTTGCTATCTCTTTTTGTGAGAGATGGCCTATCCCTTTTTTTAGGGGAAGGGATACCGGATTCCTGACTTCCTGACACAGTTTTTCTTCTTAGACCCTCTTCATCTTGCTGTTCTATGGCTGGCCCATTCCCTCCATCCAGAATGTGCCTCACAGCCTGGTCCTCTGGAGTACACACAGTGGTCCCACTTTCACTGCTACTCAGATCCAGATCTTCCAAGTAAAGGATCTTTGAATGCGGCATATTTTTAATGAAGGTTTTCTCTCGCTCCAGTTTCCTACCAGGATGATGCTCATTCATGTCCACACCGGAGTCCAGACTGGTATCGTTACTCTCTGTTTTTCTGCCCTTTTTCAGATCTATAAAAGAATGCCTCACTTGAGCTATCGGCTTCCCGTCCAGGGACACAAACCATGCACGAGGATGCGGAGATGGCTTTCCCTTAGAGAGCTCCAGTAGCGTTTGTTCTGAAATGCCTTGAAGCTCAGATGAAAACGGAGTCATTACAACTGCTTCATTCAAAGTTCCGGGGACAGAGACAGATTCCAGTAAGCTGTTAGTGTACCGACCCCAGTTTGACGTTTGAGAAGGCAAGCCTTGTTCACCATCCAAGGTGCTTTTCTCATCTCTGCAGACAGAAGGCTGTGGATGAGAGTGCACTGGCATTTTAGGTAGTGTTTGTATGTAACCATCTCGATTCACAGGCTCCATCATGGGGCTATACACTAACTGTCCTTTCCTTGGCAGAGTTGCTGATTTAGCAGCGTGCAGTTGTTCTGGGGAATGGAAAAGATCAGAAGTTTGAAGAATAGCAATAGGTTGGTTGTAAATATGCATTAGATGTTCTGGGATATGGGAAAGCCCATATATTTCCTCTTGCAGTGTAAGATACCTGTTTTGCTCTTGAATGTCCCTAGGAGCCTGGGAAGCAGCACTGTTAGTAAGTTTTGGTGGCTGCAAGTGTCTGAGTCCAGCACCAGGCTCCAAGGAATGAGGTGAATTTATTGACTGACCAGTCTGATAGGATGACTGATAAGAAGCATCTTCCGAGTAGATTTTAAAATTGTCTCGTGATTTTCCATCTTCTGTGTCCGTGGACATCCTTCTTTGAGGGCTGTATGAAGACATCTTCGGCGTATACAGCTGCGACTTATCCTCTAACTTTAAAGACCCCTTGACAGCATTGATGTGATTTATGTGAGTTGTTGATGTGGTCTGGTCTTTTTTTATGACATCCAGCTTGGTTGTATTTTTTTCCTTCTTTTGTGTCTGACCGCATTTGTCCCTAAGCAAAAGAAATGAAGAGTGACTGCAGAGTATGCTAGGAAATACAACAACTGTTCAATTCCATATCTGAATATCAGAAGTTGTTTAAGTTACTAGTATAATATGTTGTCAAAAAACTTAAAATGAATTTCTGTAAGCACCAAAATTAAAGAAATCTTTGGCTACATGTTGGAGTTGGGCGTATTAAGAGTTGAAAACATTCTGTTTGCTTTATATCTTAATATCTTTTCAATAGTGTTAAGAAACCTGCCAAGTCCAAGTTTATCAATCTTAAATTACATTAATGCTGAGCTCATTACAGCCCCTCTTTTTGCTTACCTGCAGTAACAAAGAAGAACAGCAAAAAATCCAATTATAATGATAACAGTGCCTCCCAGTATGGCTGTAAGGAACACTGTGTGATAGGCTGTTATGTCCTTGGAAACCGCACTAATGATCGATTCTAGATTTTCAAACACAAAAGCAGACAAGAATTAGATTTAAAAATCAAGTAATGGTTATTGATATGCAGAGCTGTAGCAATACAACATGCTGTACTCCTCCCATAATTGTGTGTTCCTATGGTACTATATTCATCTATCCCTTCTCACTTTGCTATTTTAGCAGTCTAGAAAATGTGCAGTATAACGGATTTCTAAGGGTTCATCTTAGATACTAAAGGAATACCATGAACCTATTCTATTCCAGCCAAATGACATTTGTCTGAGGTGTCCACATTGACTTAGAAACATCACCTATATATTCTGTTCAGTGTTTCTATTAAGAAGTGCTTTTATAATATTTACGATTTCACATCACATTTCTCCTGGGAAAATCCCTCATTTTGAATCTGCAAAATCCAAGTATGCAACATGTATACATAAAAAAGGATCCACTGAGGCCACACACCTAAGCTTAATCTCCTTGCATTTCTTCCTGTTTTACACTATCCTCAGCTGTAAGGGACACGCTACTGATCATTTTAAATCTCCACAGTTACAGTTTCCTTGCAAGGTTCTTCCAGAAGATGGCAATAATATAAACTTATAACTTTTAGCACTGCTGGAGGGAAATACAGGCTGTGCTGCAAATTCCAGGAAACAATCACATGCAGAAAGGCACACATTATCAGAATTCAAACAAGCAGAGGTTATCAGTATTGAAATTCCATGTCATTTTCCCTTTCTTTTGTTATTCAAAACAATCAAACTAACAGCCTGATGACAACTTTGTACTTGAATTATTCACTATTTGTACGTGCAATACCTCTTGTTCCAGGCAGTGGAGCTGCAATCCAGTAGCCTAAGTGTTGAGCAGTGTATGTCCATACTAACTGATCATTTGCTTCCTTCACCATTCCTAGGCCACGGCTTACCCAAGCACCTGAAAAAGGTAAGATACTCCAAAAATGCCATGCCACATTCCTTTCTATCTAAAACCACTATCAAATAAACTATTATCAAAAACTCAAGAAAAATTAAACTTCTGTCCTGTACGCTATGCATTACAGTTTTAGCTAAAAATGCAAGTTTTCTTTCGACAATTACAACACAAATATCCTTACATACATTGACTTTGAAATAAAATATCATCATAAGCAATTACTTGAATTATTTTCACATCATTCGTTTCTTAATAACAAGTATCTTAAATAGATATTCCTGCCAATTATTTGGAGAAAAAAAAAAAAAAAAAAAAAAAAGGACCTTATTTTAGGTAAGAAACTTAAAAATCAAGGAGCAAGTAATTTAAGGATGTGAATAGAAATTTTCCATCAGCTTACACCAATCAGTGGGAAAGCAACATAATCTAATAAGCTACAATAGGATAAACAACGCTTGTCATGAACATTCCTTTCCTCCTCTAATACAGTAACGACTGAATTAGACCAAGGAAGGTCTATTGTTAGGCCACAGACTCCACACCATCTGGTAGGCAATGCAGAGGACAAGTTTTATGGTATGCCAACTTCTACAACTAATAAAGCGTGCAGTAGAAGAGATGGAATTAAACAGTGCATTATTTGAATACATTAGCTGTATACCATCTGTGCAATCCTGAAAAGCGAAAGCTGTCTCATATAAACAATCTTACATTTTCAAACTGCAAATACCAAGAAAGAAAAACGTTAACATGCGGAGAAAAACAGAAACTAAGAACCAAACTACAAAAAAAGTGTGATTTATATAAAGCCACATAAACTGATATCCAGGCCCTTTCTTCCAGAAAACCCAAGACATACTATCAGAGCGAAGGTAGAGATGAGAGTTGACCCATGCCACACGTGTCTGCAACCTCCTTCACCTCTCCAAACCATTTGGCAGTAAAATTTGCAGTCTTCTTTTGGTACTTATAATGGCTGGCAGAGAGGGAACAGCAAGAGCCTAGAACCCTGAAGGAGGTGGTTTCTCAGTTACGTCGAGAACCTCTTTTCCAGACTTAGGAGTAGCAACACCTCTAAGTGTCTTCCATCCCTAATTCCCACATGGAGGCAACAACAGAACCTCAAATCCTATTTCTTGTCAGCTCTAAAGTCAGATGTCCCTATGCTGCAAAACAACAGTTTTGTAAGTACAGAGGGTGAGCTACTTAGACGCTTTCAAAAAATAAATTAATAACACACCATCACATTTAAAAGATCCTACGTCTCCAAAAGCTCTGCTTCGAATTAAGATATCTATGAGAAGCAGTATAATCTCTTTTGACTACTCAAGTTTTATCTTGCCTACAACATACTCCATAGAAAAAAGTAAATATTAAGAAAAAAATATTTTTTCCAAGTGCATATTCTGAATACAATCTGAACTAGCTGTGGTGTCCCCGTTCATTGCAAGGGAGTCAGACTAGATGGATCTTAGAGGTTCCTTCCAACTCTAAGGATTCTACGATTCTTCTATCAACTGTAATAAAGCAACGTGTTTAGCTACAATGAGGCCACACTCAACATATGTGAACAGACTGTGCATTTACAGCAGCCACAATAACAACCACTTAACTTCATTAAGTGTCTGTACCAGTACACTGAGCTACCCAGGGGAGCACTTCAAAAGTTGATACAAGAAAACACTTTCTATGTTTTTATTTCTGGTGCACCTAGACTAATCTACACAACAACACAGGCTTGTTCACTTACATCTATCAGCATTGATATGGAAGTTCTGATTACGTATGACAAACTACCAAAGGACTTGAGAATACTGAAGTACATGTCAACATCTTGTTGGGCCATCCTGCACGTAAGACCTTTCACACTATTATTCGGTGTGGTGACAGCTCTCTGTTCAGCTCCTGTGGATGCTCTTGACTGTGCTATCGCTGAGACGCTCAGTTGGCTTCAGTTACCAGCATTAAATACTTGGCTATTCCTCAGTTACGTCAGAAATTAGTCACAATTTGTACACGTCAGAGTAAAAGTAAAATAAAGAAAGGTATGTAAGAACAAACATCCAGAACCATAAAGATAGTTGCAAATACTTACTCTATAGGACAGCTGAAGAAGTAGAATGAAAAATGCAAGTTAAAGCTATACCTGTAAGTTCTCTCTCCTTGTTCTCAATTCTCTTTATTCTTCCCTCACCAAACTCCAGGCTCCACCTCAGTACTGCACTTCAGTGAGGGATCATCGCCAACAATTTACCTTTACAGAACCTCTAATAGCGAACAACCCCAAAGGTGAACAATCAACTATTCCTTTGTTGCTACAGTTGTTAAGTTAGTACATCATGTTCTTGTTCTTGTCTCAAGACCGACACACCTCATCAGGCACGTTGGGTAGGCTCCTCGGCACCCAGATATGCACCTTACACTGGTTTCTTTCCAATTTGCCCTTATGCTGATCTGCTCTACTTCTGTCAGTTCTTTGTTTTTACAGCACTGCTGACCTAGTTTTGTTCGTTTACTAAGTCAAAACAGCTCAGCATAGGTAGAGATGAGCACAGGAGATGACAAAGATGGCTATGGCAACAAGAAATTAAATCCCCTTAGGCTATTTTGCCATCACAGATAAAGACTTACTTTGATGAAGAATGCTACCTTTTACCACTTTCCTCTCTGAAAGCCTCCTAGGTGCACAGCCAGATTTAAAATTGACTTCAGAAATTTTTCTATATGCCAATTTTTAATTAGCACACTCTCGGTTTTAATCAATTATGCTCTTTGGTTGTTATCAATATGATTAATTTCTCTCTCAAGTGTGTAAACAATAAATCTTCAGAGTTAGCGTCCTCTCCTCTACTTTCAACTACAACAGTTATTTGCTTTAGCAGCGAGGAAAGACTCACATCTTTGTTCACTTGCATGTTTTAAGATGAGCTATGGTGAAAGGTGTAAGGAACAAGCAAAGACTGTGAGTACACCAATGCACACACACCAAACATGGGACAATTAAATGGCTAAGTGTACACAGCTCATTACTCTTGACTAAAATTAGACATGGAGTGATGACAGAAGGTTTAGCATGTCTTATCCCCAGCCTCCCTTGCATACTTAAAGAACTATGGTATTACCATGAATAACTCTTATGTAGCCTCCATTTCACTTTCATAACTGTTTTTATTGACTTAAGTAACATCTATTCCAGCTTCAATATCAAAGGATTTTTAGAGCTATACTTTAGAAAACAAATGACTTAAATTCTCAATTCTGATTCACTTTCCTTTAGAAAGACCTTCACAGAATTATTAGGTTTTCATGTCCAACACCATATGAAATATGTTCACCGAATTATTAGCCCGCCCATGAAAATAATCATTTGTTAAATCAAACGTGTTGAATAGGAATGCTGATGAGTTTTAGCAGCACTTTTAAGACTAGCGAAAGCAGTGAAATGGCTTGGAACAATTCAGGCCAGTCATCCAAAAACCAGCACGGGATCTCCAGCCAAACTGATGACTATTTAACAACAACTTATCAGCGCTATTAATATTTTATGATAAAATGGCATATACTCAGAACTGTAAGAATGTGTTAAAACGTTGAATAACAAATCAGCCTACTTACCAGTTTTCATATCAAATGTCCATGCAGGTATAGCATCTCCTGATTTTACAGTACTTGTAGGAAGAGGAAGTGTAATCTGAATAGGACCATTTACTTTCAGTTCTTTCCCAGCCAAGAGAACGTTTGCACATATTGCAGCAAGAGGAGTCAATTCAATGCTTTTGAAACCTGAATTACAGAAATACTTTGTCTGTAATCCTCCACTCACAGTACACTTTTCAAAAAACATAATTAGAATTAATTATATATCCCTGGGAACAAAGTCAAGCCCTCATCTGCATTCAGATGCACAGTTACACATCACTAACTTGATCAAATGAAATGAACACTTCTAGACTTGTAAATCTTGTGTTCTAAGCCCAAAACAGTCATTTGTATATCACATCTGTGAAAGAGAAACACTTCTAACATACAGATTCATCACTGGCTGTAGAATCAATGACTACGCCAAAGATGGCTTGGAGATGGAGAAACCCTTCTTTATCATATAACTTGATTCCCAAAGAGTCAGCCAACAGATTAACTTTTTTTAATCATGCAATATACACAACTTTGAAACCAACTGAAGACACATGGCAAATATACAACCACCACAATTCTCCTTTTAGTCAAACCCTCTTAATAAACTTTCCCGTACCAATTAATATGCTAATTTGGCATACTCAGTTAAAATTAACTGAGTAGTTCAAGCTTGAAACATGTCAAAGTATTCAAAAGAAACTCCATAACCAAAAATTGACAGTGCAGCTTGTCATTTTGTTTCCTTTGTTTTCCTTCACACTAATTTGCAAATACTTCAGAGTCCACGATATGACAGGCTACTGGAAAAAAAAAAAAACTGAAACAGAATTAATAAGTACTGGAATAATATTAAATCTGCACAGGCTGTTAGAAGCTCGCTGCGACAAAACTCCTGGTGCATCAGATATCAATTAGCTTCCATCTCCCTAAAAGGAAGCTTATTCCTACAGGAGTATATGAATAATTTAATACACATGCCAGACAGATTGAAAGAAAAACTGAAGAGGAGAAATGCTGCTTATTCTCTTATGCTTTAAATTTAACAAGGTGCGATACAGATGAGAACAGTTATGAAATACATCAGTCAACATATCAATTAGATGTGATGATATTCAATGAAAATTAAAGAACAGTTAGTTGAAATAAATCAACTAGTAGCCACCGCATGCGCTGTAATCAAATTCAGAGCCACAAGGCTTCAAGCTCCCTGGGAATGGAAACAAAAGAACAAAACAGACAGAACTGTATGATCTGCCAGAGATAACTGTAATTAAAAATTAAATCTGATACAACGGCAAATCCTAAACTATGCCGATACGCAGTTGGATTGAATGACTACTGAAAACACTCACTGCTACTCCTGTGAAGCAGAATAGAAAACATCACTACAACTGTGCTCTGTATATATATAGACTACTTGGTCTCAAACAGGCTTACACAGGTTTACAGTGAGCCAAATTATACTCTGCACAAGACCTTTACGCTAAGTGTAAAGCTCTAGCAACCAGGTGACAGAATTCGAGTGAAAAAACAGAAAAGCCCATTGCTAAAATTAATCCCACTGACTGCTTTAGATTCCCATAACTCACACTGTCCAGAACTGCATTTTAAGGCGTTAATTTGACTAGCTCTCCAGCCTCACGATATCTCAAATATCTTCAATTGAAAGTCATTTAAAAGGTTACTTACTGCGCATCAGAATCCTGTAACTGTGCTTCAGCACTAAGTAGAACTATCTATACACGTCTGTAAAGCAGACTCAAGGAAAAATTCACCGTTACGAGTTCTGACTCACTACACTAAACATACATGGAACAAATCAAAGAGCAACTTTACTTACCAGCTGTGTTCACAGCTTTTCTCCATAGCAAGAAGAGTAAACCAATTTAATGCAATGGAAACTGGCTCAGGCACTTTTAATTTCAGCATATTTTTAATGAAACAGTTTGTGCTCAAAAACATGACGTTTTTAAAATCTCTTTAAAAATGTAAATAATACATCTACTATACCTGATTTGTTTAGAAGAATTCCAGTCATATAAAGAAAACTGTCCACTTTCAAGAATTGCTCTGGCACTGTCAAATAAGCTGTAACATTTGTAATATGGTGATCTGTTGGAAGCTTTATTAAAGATTTTTGAAACTGAACACTTGGTTGAGATTTGGCATCTGTAAAAGATTAATATTTTGTTTTAGCAATGGTAAAAAAAATACACATTTTTTTTTAATATTGCTCAGAAATCCAGTCAGCAGAACAGTCTTTTTTCAAGGCTTTTAAGTTCCTAGTCTCACATCCGTCACAAATGGTTAAACAATCAACCAAAATTCTAGCCTTGGCATAGGTAATATCTAGCTCTTGTGAAAAGCAGTGCTCAGGTAGCCCTGGCTTAAGTGGCTTCCATGTCCCTAGAAGATCAGCAAGTGTTGATAAACGAACATTTACAGAGAGCATGAACTCGGCCATTCTTTTTTCTAAGTATCATGAATTGCTTAGCCTGCAGTACACAACGAACTTACCAGACAATTTTCCAGTGATCAGAACACTATCTTCAAACAGCCATATATTAGCTTGACTTTGTGGGAACAACGAGAGCGTCACAGACGAGTATACTGTGGAAAGTGATAATATCTGTTATACTATGCAACTGAAAAAATAACCATTTAATAAGCTCTCCGACTCCAAAAGAATAGGGCAGCTGAAAAGGAGCACATGAAGACTAGAGAAATCAATGACTCCTGGTGGCCAGAAGAGGAATTACGTTGGTTAGACAAAGTTCTATATGGCTGTGTTTGGTACTGTTATATGTTTTCTATAGAATACAAGTCGCTAGAGTTCTTAGAAGCATCCTCTTATTGATTTGTTTTTTAAATAATGATTTTTTTCTTGCCCATTTAAGAAGAGAAAAACTTGGGAGGAAGTACTGCTGAAAAGAAAGTGGAACAAAAGGCTGTACCTGTTATACTACACTCAAAGCACTGGCACACCGTGAATCACTAGATAAAATATGATTTTTATCAAAAATGCATTAAAAGCCCTTTGCTATGTTTAAGTGAATAATTTCTCAGAGTACACTCACAGTGTTGCAGTACAACCTACTCAGAGTTAACAAGGGCTCTCCTCACTTGCACAGTAATAAGAATTTGTGACAGATCTAACAGGTCCTTCACCCTTACATCTGCACTGACAGGCACCACCTCCCTCAACTGACTGCAGTCATTTTCACTTGATAGTAGCTACATGGACTGCTGAGAAGAGGTACTGTAATTACCAATAGATACAGTTTAATAATAGGACAGTAAGAGGCTTACATACTTGGCATTCTCCCAGTTTTCCAAGGCAAAGGTGTTAACATGTAGCCATCTTTGTATGATACAATAGTTAAGCTTAATCCTAACTTGTAAGGAACTTTTATTAATACTGCTCCGTTGTTTCCAGTGAGAGTAGAATTTGTCTTGGTGTAGTTAACAAACACTTCCACTACTGCTTGTGCCAGGTACTGATGACTGATGATGTCATTTACTTGAACCTTCAGCATAAACACCGACCCTATTAAGAGAAGAAAAAAGCAGATCATAATGTAGCTGAGGACTATAACTTAACCACTTTACTGTGTCCTATAGCTCATGCTTTATGTGCTTATGCAGTCCATTTCATATATGGTCCATTCCTGTCCCACCATAGCTAAATTACTGCAAAAGGGAGGAAGAGTTGTACCAAAAGGAAGCAAAAAACCTTGGTAATGGAGATGCCAGAAGTAAAAAATGACAATCATTTACTAACAAAAACAACAACAGACACCTTCCCAAATTAAGAAGCAATTCTTCCTGCTCTCACTGAAGCTTGAACAATGCACATGTGACGATGTGAGACTCAGTGTGCCCTGCAAGTACTCTGCCATATCACACTGACAGTTGTAGCTGGTCTTGTTAGACAAGTGTAACCCTCAGCTTGGCCCTCACTTTCAGAGTTGCATCTTACATTTTTTTTTAGGAACAGAAATTAAAATCTACAAATGGTGGGCCAACAATTTTTCTTACATGTATGAAGTTCTTAAACAGTAATCAAATTCAGATTTAGACTGTCTAATATCTCTCATCAGATTTACCCTTCTGGTCTGGTTTTCACCTTTCACTATCACACTTTCTAAATACCATTTGCCTATTGCTAATTACTCATTCCTTAGGGATACCAGGTGTCTTGCAGAGATGAGGATCATAATGGTTGAGTAATATACTGAAAACATTAAGTGCACTTGAATTACATTCAATTTAATCTGCCACCTCGACTGTAACTAAGTTACCAGGGAATCTTTCCACAGAGAGCAAGTACATCAACGCGAACCAGAAAAAAGGAATTCTTATTACTTCCAGGATGAAATACAGTTCTCAGCATGAAGTACCTATGGACCACTGTTAAGACAGGTTGCAACATCAATTTCCCAATATTCTGAGCACAGAATTACTACTATTCAACACCACTGCACTCCTGCTATGCAAGAGTTATTAAATGCATTAGTTATCAGTATGCATTTATGTTTAAGTCATTTGTCAACGAGAGTTTCCTTGAAATTTCTCAGCACAAAAACAGACTCAATTTCACTATGTTATCTCCCCTATAATCAAGATTGACACTGCACCGCAAGATTACTACCACTGACCTTGATTTAAATCAAAAGGCCTTGGGAAGCCAACTGCTACCTATAGAGCAGTATGCAAGGAAAACACGTGAGGTCTCTGTGAAGTAAGTATTGGCTAATGTCTACTGTATGCACAGAGCACACTATATATTCATGTACAGAAAGCTATACCTTATTACTCAGTTTACTACTACTTATCACATGTAGCAAAAAACCTCAGAGCTTTGTCAGTCTGATCCTCTAAGACATTACAGAGTAATCCACATCCAGCAAATTAGTATCTACTTAAAGCAAAGGTAAAATAGTACTCAAACATATTTATAGAATTAAAAAACAGTGAACTTAGAATGTTGCTGTCATCTCTTATTTACAGAGATTACTGTAAATAACTGTATTTACTTATTTTATTTATTTGTCATCTCTTATTTTTCTAAATTACAATTGCTTTTAATTTGTTGTTGAGAAAGGATTTTTAAAACTTCTAACAATTAGATACATTTGTGATAAGTAACCAAATTATGAGGACTCAGCAGATCCTTCAACACTGGTCCTAGCATCATTCCAGGGGTTCCTGGAACTTGGAAGACAGGCAGTTTGCCCTCAGCAATGGCTGCTGAAACAGCCACCAAACAGGGAAAATAGGCTGCGCCCAACATTCTGATCCTGTTGCCAGAAACCGTTTTGTTAAACAGTATTAAAAAATAGAATCACTAGCATAGAACTGATGCTCACGCCAGCAGGGATGCATTTCGTTTACCTGGAACAAAATGGTATTTTAGCAGTCATCAAGCAATGAAGTCACTTGAGAAAGGAACCTACCATTAACAGCTCGATGCAGTAAAAAGAAATGGAAATTTTTTTGAAAAGTTTACCATGTTTAAACTTCTGACATCTTCTAGTCCTACCAATGTTTTTATTTGTGTGTTCCCATTTTCCACTAGTAAATCAAAACAGATAAAAACACAGAGAATCACTACATCCCTTCTCCAGCAATTAGTACATTCAAAGATACTATCATGCAAGAATATGACTTCCTCTCATTTCCTTCAGTTACAGCCGTGCTAAAACCTACTTCTCTAGCAGATTTTGATTGAAACAACAGACTGCGGAATCCTTCAAGAAAAACAAGAGCTTTCCTGCTCCCCCAGCCATATTTCACTGTTGCGCTGATGGAGCTGGCTGCACCAAAGCATCCTGCAGCAGAGCAGCAACAACAACCTAGATAAAAGCAACACGATGCTTTGGTTCTCAGAGCTCAGACTGTGCACGCATGCATCGGTAATACAGTGCCCCTGACTGATCCATTCCTTTCCAAACCTGACATCCATCCCTGGACCAACTCACTTTTCATATTAGCTCTTTCAATTCCCTCACATACATTCAGTGTGCAAATGTATCGGCATATTTAACAGCACTGAGTTATTAACAACATTATTTTAACATTGACAATACCTCAGTTTTGAGGATCTTTTCCTCTATAAAAGATCTTAACGCACAAGTCCTCAAGAACGTTCAAGACTCAAATAAGGAGGAATTTTTTTTTAAACATCACAGTAATACATACTGAACAAATTATTACAAAAGGAAGTGCTGGTTAACTATTTCACAAAACCAAAGTTCATACGTTTAAGAACTTCCCGAACTCGTGCTGTTTTCTGCTCACTACCACTTGCCAAACAAGTGGGTCAGCTCTATCTCAGTATTAAATGGATTTGACAGAACTCCCACAGTTAGAAAAAAGAACTCAGTCTGTGCTAATTTGATTTGCGCTGCCTCCGAGGAATAGAGATTTGTCTCTTGGCAAGCCCACTGAAAATGCCAGCTTTAAGACATTTAAACATTTGCTGATAAATGTTCATACAAATGTAGGAGCTAATTGGAAAAAGGGAAACAATGCCTTCTACCACACTTAGCATGCTTCAGAAATGCCACAGTTAATAAACGACACCTCACAATGAGCAACAAGACACAGTGCCTGGGATTTCGCTTCACATCACTATCCTAATTCAGAGATCATATCACAGCGCTAAGCACAAGAAATACTTTGTACCCAGCTCTCAATTCCGAGCATAACAGCGCAAAGAAAAATCTGTCTTCATAGTAGCCTGATGTAACCTGTTAATCCTTCAGCTGCAGACAAACACGTTACCTGGTTACTGTATTTATCTGTGGGCCTGGCTTTCCCTCCGCAGCCCCAGCTCCAATGCCTAAAGCCAAGGAGTGCTGGAACTGAAATCCTCCTGCACCCTGGGACAGGGAACTGCCTGGGAAGCACCCCTACACATTCTGAGCCCCAACCCAATTCCCTTTCCATATCTCTCACCAACTTCCTACAGTGAGAAAGGCTGGCCGTTACCCTTCTCAAGCACACAAACAACTATCCAATTAAGCAATTGCCTTACAGAGTGGAAGGAACGGGAATTACTGTTAAATTATTTATTAGTTGCTTTCTCAAGAAGAGATTTTTCTCATCCTTGCCTAAAGAATGTTTAATCTAATGCCAGAAAAGTCCCAAAAAGACATGGACTTAGATGTGTCTTACGGAAACTGCCAATACTCCCTAGCTCTCAGCTAATGAGAGAGATAAAACATGTGCTGTGCAATTTGCTTGACCTTAACTTACTGAACAGTCATTTTTCCTCTCTCTTATATTCATACACCACCATATTTTTTGGCTTAAGGTAATTAAGGACATGAAAGGTGCACTGATCTGTGAAGAAGCAATCCCATGTTCCAAGAATATCAGCCTGTGCGATCCACTGCAACACCTCATGCGTAGCACCAGTGAAAAACAGTCAGTGAAGTGCAACCTACACCTACCTGGCTTTAGTAAAAAGGTTATGTGGAAACCTTTTGTTCTGCACTACGGTGCGAGGCGCTGAGAGTGCAGATGTTGCTGCCCTGCGCAGTGCATTACAAGGAGCTTACTGGTGGCCCCCAACCCCTGCTAACTATTTCATGGTAATATCCTGCTGGTTAGTGTCAGACCCATTATGCCTCATGCTATTATGCTTCACAGCTATCAAGTAACCTGCAAATCTGATTAATAACCCCTATATCCTAACATAAGCTTCCTTTCTATCAGTGCTTTCCTGGAACCACACAGCTTTCTATAGACTCAGTGTACAGATGGGTCTGTACACATATAAAGTCATTCCTAACTCCACAGAAGCAATTCTACATAATCCCAGCTGGTAACAGAATATCTCTATCAGTAACTAATCATAGCATTCTTTACAAAATATGCATGTGTGATAATTACATGGTACTCCTCTGCTTTAAAATAATAGCACAAAATAAAGAAAACCACTTAGCTTTGTTTTGGGGCATTTAGATACTAACAACAAACAGACCTTCTACTAACCAAAAAGGACAAACAGTTGACAACTAGCTGACAGGGTTTTATTCTTGCCCTGGAAGACAGCCTTAAGAACGTCCCTGCAGGAACATTCCAAGCATCACTGCCTCCAGGCAGCCAGCAGACAGGCAAGGAACAACCGGGCAGCAGGTGGGAAAAAGTGCATGCACAAGGACAGAGCTGGGGTACAGCCACAGATCAGAGCTGCCCATGTTTAATTTAATCTTCAAGCAAAACAGCAGCATGGTAACTCTAATTTTAAAGCAAGCGTGGACTGCTCCTTGAAACGCCATTTGGAAAAAGAACCTATTGGCATTTCAGTTTTATTTATCAGTGGTGCTGCTCAGTGGCATTCAACTATAAATAGAGACACGCAGAGAACTGCTTTTAGGCAATGTAAAGGCCATAGTAAAAATGAAGCACGAAGTAAATCGGAGCCCAGAGCTAATCAACATCTGCTCCACTTGAACACAATCTGCTAATTCCATGAAGGCAGGACCATAATATCTATACAGTGCAGTTCCATACTTCAGCACTATCTTAAGAAAATAT